ATGTGCCAACTTTCCTCTGGACTGGTGAAATGCTGAGCTGACACAAGATGATAAAACAAATGTTCAAACTGCGAGTTTGAATTTTCAGAGCATGATGAAATACTAAGTAGCTTTGACACAGGGTGTTGTACTAGATGAAGGTGATTTAATTTCATTGTGACTGTTTATCATATCATAATTGTTTCAAAAAAATACAGTTTCTTCTGCCTAGCCCTTACTTTGCTCAAAATCACGCTTCAGTCAGGTTGGGGATTTGCACCTGAATACGTTATATGGCCATGTTGAAGTGCTTATTACGTATGAAATTTAGAGTTCTGTTCTTGTAGACCACCCACTGGGAGAGATGCACTGTAGTGAGCAGTACTGCTTTATGATTAAGTGCAGGATTTGATTGAGAATTTGGTAGTGTATTATGTTGAAGATATTTAATTATTTTATTACTGTTTTTCACTCAAAAAGGAAAAATACCAATTTCTTAAAAGCTTGTTCTAGGCTTATATTTCATGTTAATTCCTTAAATGGCTTGCTTTAGTGTTGTAGATCTGCACATTATCAGAGTGTTCTAAATCCTTTGATTGTCTTCTAGGATACAAATTTACTTTACAACAATGCAGCTCCAGGAGTCAAAATCCAGCATTTGTAGACATGCAGTTTGAGATGTAGTTAACATTCCATGTAGCTGTGCCAGACAAAAATACATTAGTAAATTTCCAAGCCCGGTACAGTACAAAAGTCAAATTCAAAATAAATTCTGCCTTACTTGTACTATTTCTGTCAAACTCATTCATGCTGAATGTATGGCTTTAAAACTGGCAATAGTATCTACTGCATTGTGGAGTTAGATAAATTCAGAAGCATTTATTTTGCTTTAAACACTGAGGATTTATTGTATATTCCATAAGGTATATATTTTTGTGTGAATATGAAAAATGTGCTCACCATATGTTAGCATTTTCAATGTGTAATTTGTGAATTTAGTATTTGTGCTCTTTATCCTGCAGCTTAGCAACATACAACACTGAGGAACAAAAAAATACCAGTAGCTTTAATGTCTTGTTATGGAAATTTAATTGGAATTTTTTTCCATGATTAGCTGTAGATCCTGCAGCCAAAACCTCAAGATACTGCTTTAAGTCAGTGAGGGTAGGATCTGTACAGAGCAGTTACATGCTAAAACTGTTCATTAATGTGTGTATGGGAAACGTTTCTGTCTTACATATTTCTTTTTCAAAAAATGAATCTCTAAAAATTGCGCTTAACATAAGTGGGTAGAGCAATGTATATATTTTAGTTTATATTCTATTACTGCATAAGATAGCATCTTGTTCATGATGTTTTATTTCTTAGTCTTCATTTGTCTTTATTGAGTGTACCTGTCTTATTGTAAGTTGCTTATTTGTTTAAAAATAAATGGTCTAGTTTTAATCAATTTTACAGCTGCTTATTATTCAGAAAAGTAGTGATGGTGTCTATCTCTGTATAGAAAGATTGCTTGTAATTTATTTTTCAGTTGTACAGCTAAAATTAGCCTGTGATTATAGTAACATGTAAAGGAGTACTCCTTTTTCACTGAATTACCTTTAGCTGGAATAGACAAAGCAAGGAAAAGCAAAGCAAGTGCAGGTCACATTGAGATGAATGGCATAGCCCAGTTTCAAAATTAAATAGAGTTTCATTTTGCAGTCTGCTTGCAAATCTTAAGTATTTTTGAATATGCTATGATTTTTAAAATGTCCCTATGTTTGGCAGGAACTTTCATGTAAAGAATTTTCTTTGAACTATTTTTAAGAATTGAATTAAAGGGAGAGTTACCGGGCAGTACAAAGTTATGGAACATCTTTCAGAATAAATCAGCAATCTCTCATAGACAGAAAATCTTGACCAAGAAAGTATTTCTCTTTTCAGCCTTATTTTTGTGATACCTGTTCATTACATGAGATAAAAGTAGACTTGGGATCTGTATTTCATACTTGAAATGTCAAATACATCCCATCATGAGTCAGTGGCTATCTTTCAATAAACAGGGACAGCATGAATCAGAATAAATGATCTTGCAGTAGATAGCTTTGTCTGAAGTCCATTTTCCTCATTATCAAAACTCTTTAGCAGCTGAAGACTATATTGATTTGCTGTATGCCTGGTGCTATTGTAGCAGGTGTGCTGTAGCGTTCTGGCCACTGAATTTGACACAGCTCTAAATTCAAAGTGTAAGATTCGAACTTCCTCTGTAGCATTTATCTAACAGTTGACACCATTTCCAGAGAGGTTCAGGAGCAAGACCTCCCCAGTGGCATTTAGTGCTTTGTATTTTCCATTGATTTGAAGAGCTGAGGTTATCTGATCATAAACCATGTAGTTGGGTTTTGCTCAGATCTTTCACTGTTTAAAATAGAGTATTAAAAGCTAACACGAATTGAATAAAACCACTGTCTGAAGTTGTTAAAGCAGCTTAGTGAATTAAATTGCATGCTAATTAGAAATAAACAGCACAACTATTATAAGGGTGCTCAAACTATATTTTTTTTTCCTTCATTTCTTTTACAGTGTCTATGGCTTAGGGTATGACCAGTCTCTGAGTTGCCATAGACAGTTATTTCCAGTGCTGCCTTTGAGTATATGGGAAATGGTGTAATTTACATACTCACATTTTTTTCAAAGCCTTTTTACAAATTATACTGGCTAGAGGGCAATCTGGAGTCTCAGGAATTGAACCCCACTGAGAGATAATATCCTGCCCTGAGCATGCCTTCATCACTGTATATGGCAAGCATTTATTCATCTGCATCTCATCTGGTAAAGTTTATAATGGTTTTTTTAAATGGACTCTTATTTCTGCTCTTACAACTGCTGTTCTGGTCACCAGCATGTAAGATGTAAGCAGAGAGTACTAGATAAGCCTGACAAGGGTGACACTAAAATATATGTGTGTGTGTATATATATATATATTTAAATACATGAAGGTAATATGAACAATTTAAACATTCTTTAAGGTCTTAGCAGTAAGAAAATATTCTGTTGAAATGATTCTACGTATAAGGCTGTGCAAGGTAATTCTACAAGGAATGTTACTATCTATCTTTTTTCAGGAAATTGGCAACATCCTAGGGAGAATTTGAATTAAAATAGTAAATGCATATTTGCATTTGGAATGTTTTTGTGGATTTGTGTCTGGAAAAATTAAATTTAAACTTTTTTTTTATTTAATGTAAAAGAGTAAGTAACATGGTGATTTGGATTTCTCACCATCCAGCCACTCTGCTTCCATCTTTACTTGAGAAATACAGGACTGATGAAGTATGCCTGAATGGTACATTGAATCTTTTATTCTTTACATGAAAAGCCATGCAAGTTTCTCAAAGTGTCATTCTTGGGATCTGGTATTTTTAAACTCATAGTTCAAGGAACTCCCATGTGATACTAATTACTTTTCTCAATACTGACCCGGATTGAATTGCAACTAGTGACCTGGAGAAGTAAGGTATTGTATCCTATTGTTAGCCCTTTAAATAACCTGCAGAATGGGAACAGAGAAAGTACAGAAATACCCAATTGAGAAAATTTAAAGCGATGACAGTTCATATTAACAGGCTAGGTAGAAACATGTACGGAGTTAAATTTTGACTTTAAAAAGCCTTTGTTAGAAGTAGTAAGAATGGGTATGGGTTTTGGTTTGGGGATTTTTGTTTGGGCTTGTTTTTTGTTTAAATGAGGAAGTCAGAATCAGTATAACGAATATTATCTTTGAGCTGAATGGGTTTATTATAGAATCACTCATAGATATCTTAACTTTAATTTACTTTTTGAGAATGATCAGAGTTCAGTATTCTTAGCAAGTTATGCTTTAATGCAAGTCTTTGAAGGATAGAATGCATAATGCTTTTTTAAGACGTAAAAGCGTTGAATGCTAATTGTATTCAAGACAAACTGAACTTAGGAAAAGAGAGAGCAAACCTATTCCAAAGTAAAAATATATAGGAGATTACATGTACCACTTACTTCCTCCACTTTTTTTATGCTGTGTTCTCTTTTTTCAAGTGTATGTCATGGTTTCTTTTGTAATTGTTTCTCCATGTATGTGTAAGTATAAGTTACATTTGTGATCATAATTGCTTCATATATTTTCTGACTTTTTTCTATTATTTTTTGTCTTTCCTTATTGGGTATGAATTGATGTTTATTCAGTTGAGTTACGCTGGTTTCCAGTACTCTGGAAAGCAATTTTTTTTCAGAGAGGCACATAAAAGGTAACACTCTTCTTTGGTATTGTATCCTCTTTCTGTATTTTGCCTGGTTTTATAGCTTATATTAGCCGATAGAAGGCATTCTGCTTCAGGGGGTTCTGCATAGAGATTTTCATTTTGCATATAGTAGTCATTACTGTCACAATAAGTGTAAATATAATTTTGGGGGAGTGTATTTTTGTTAATTTATACTTTCTCTGACCTTGGTTTTTTTTTTTCCCCTCCACAGATTAAATTTGATAGTGATGGTGTCTGTGTTTGCTGTGAAATGCAGCATCAAACATCAGGCTGCAGTAACTTGGGAGAAACGCTGAAACTGAACCCTCTACAGGAATGTAATGTTGTGAGGCTGACCCTAAAGGTGCGCTATGAGAAGAATTAATAGTTTATTTCAGTTTTAAGTAGTGAGTACTTGGCAAGACAGAAGTGTGTGATGAAAGGAAGAGTAGCTGGTGTTCTCTGGGTTCATACACTCTTACATGCAAAAAAAAAAAGTTATCTTCAACAGAATTTAGTGCTTCTGTGCATAAAAATGGTTTTGTAAAAAAATACCTGTATTTGTATAGGTAACTATGTTTTTAGAGGTTATTTAAGAAACAAGTTATAATTGGTTATGACTGATGCTGGAAGGTATAAGAACAGGTATCCTGGATTCTTTCATGTTACTATTCAAGAAAGCTAGAATCAAAGATGGCGGTTGGTGTTGTTTAGTAATATTGTGGTAGACTGCAAAGAAACACAATTAGCACGATGAAGTATTTCATGATGTACTGCTAACACAAAGTATTAGCAGTATTTCAGATGGAAGTTACTTTGGGAGAGAATAGATGATGTTCTTTGGGGATAATGCTTGAAACATGCTTATAGACTACTCTGCGATATTATAAGAAGTTTAAATTCTGTAGCTTTTTGTGTTACAGCTGCCCAGATAAAAAACTGAGAGCAAATATTGAGAATATTGTGAGTGAGATATCCCAGTGTAATCATCGACATCATTGTTTCACTTCATTGTCATCAAACTAGCAAGACATGGTGTTACGCTGGTTTGGAAAACAGGAAGGAATCCGTGAAAGAATTGGTCAGAGAAAAGATCCTTAACCTGAGAGACAGATATTGGTTCATTTTAGGTTTTATTTTAATGATCAACAAAACTAACTGCATCTGTAACTCTCAGTATGAAAGTATATTTTTTAATAAAGTTAATAGAATATAATGGAGTAAAGTAGTGAAATTCAATGTGGTAAGGATCTTAGGGGTTTAGACTATAGCATGAGTCCTGAAAATGCTAAGTTATATTGATCTTTGAAGATATATTTTAAAGTTCAGAACTAGTAGAAATCCTGCAAAATGTATATAATAAATACCTAAATCTTCTTCAGCTTTTTTAATAAAAAAATAAAAAAAAAACCCCTACTAATAAGGATCATGTAGAAATTAAACCAGTTTGATGTGGCCTTAAAATTAAGTAAGAGTTCTGTCTCAGGTTTTAGGAGGATGATAATGGAGACTATGGGAGCAAAAACTTAGTGGATAGCAGGAATTTAGTAAGTGGAATAGAAGCATAACTTGACACTGCTGGTCAAAAAATAGTAAATAACTGCTACTCTGACTGCTAAATTCAGGACCGTATTCAGTGGTGCGGTTTCAGTGAAATGTGTTACGAGAAGGTAATGCAGGAAAATAACTTCTCAGAAGGACATTCTTCAAAGTGTGACAGATGCAAAAACATGAACCTGTCGTACAGAAAAAGCTGACTTGTTGATCCTATAAAAATAAAGATTGAGGGAGCATATGGTTGCTTGCTGTAAATATGTCAGTAGAGTAAACTTTAATGAGAGAGAAAAGAACTGTTTATCTTTGAGGACATTGTCAGCATATGAAGTGAGTAGAAGTGGCATATGCTGGAAATCAGGGTAAGGTTTCTAATGAATACAGCAATCAGAATAGAAGTACAAAGTATACTTTCTTTTAACATATAACTCAGTCATTTATAAAAGGAATTGATGACATATTTGCTTGCACTAGCAGAGGACTCATTTAAACACAGAGGTTCCTATGAGTATAGTCTGAACGCAGCTTTAATTAAGTATCTTCAGAATTTTTCATTTAATAGAAGGTAGTTAGGAAAATAACTTTTCCAGAAGGTTTCTTAAATCTTTTTCAGTTTCAATTCTACATTTGCTTTCTGTTTGGCTTTGACAGGTCTGTATTCCTGGCTGTAAATTTAAGAACAGCATCCTACTAAGTCCATGAGAGAGGAAAAAAAAAAAAAAAAAGAAAAAGATCACAGCTCTTAGGTAAACAACTGACAGTGACAAGGCTCACCTCTTGAATTGCAATTACCAACTACAATGTGATTTTAAGAGAACAGATGTTTTAGTACCAAAAGGTCACTTGGGCTCATTGTTTGGGGAGCCAGAGGGAGAAAAAATGTGCAATACCAGTTAAGATTATACACCTTTATAGTGTATATAGTGTACACTTACAGTGTGTATATATAGTGTATAACATTATGTAGGTTTCATGCTCCTTCTCTTTGAGGGTGGGGTAAAAATCTCATGCTTCCACTAAGTCATCTATGCTTTTTCAGCGGTAGTAGCTATGGGAGTTGCATTGTGAACAGAACAATTGCACCCATATCTCCTGGCTGATCTTGTTCCCAGTCAGTCAAACAGGACAAGGAAAAATAACAGTGGCTACCAGTCCTGTGTATGCCAGGAGTTCACTCTTAGATTGAATTCAGTTGATATGAAATTAGGCTTGGTGTTAGCCACTTGATAATGCTGAATTTCATATCCCATACAAGCAATATCAGTAAATCATATAAATCAAGATGAATACTTCAAAGAAATGTCTTTGCAAGGCTAGTGTGTGTACCTCACTATTCACTCTTGCCTGTTAGGTCTGTTAGGTCCAGTTTCATGAATGTGAATGATAAACTGATAATAGATTCAGGCGAGCTCTGGTTTAAGGAGATACTATGTTTATAATCAAAGATATAAGATGGTTTTACAAATGTAGGAGAGGATACTGTTATACAAAGAAATTTGCCTCAGGACATTCCTTTTAATATTTAATGATTTTTGAAAAATTAATTTTTACAGGATGAAAGATTAGAAATCATTTGTCCTCTGCTAGTTAAATCTTATGCAGACTTACTTTTGTGATATGAAATTAATGAAGAGGAAAAGATAACATTATTCTTACAGTAAAAAGATAACTTTTTTACTTACAGTAAAATTCCTAAAAGAAAAAGATGAGCTGAAACATGAAGCTATGGCATGAATGTTGTATTTTACTGATATATAGACTGCCTTACCTTACAATTAATGTAATCTTACAGAACTTGGTATTTTAAAATCTTAGAAGGTCAAACATATGAAATCTCTTGGGTAAAACGTAAAAGACTCATTATTTAAATATCTGAAAAACAGTCACTTGAGATAAATTGTTTGCCAGAACCAATAGATTGTGTGCATGTAACACCTTATCTTGTGCATGGAAGCAATTGAATGTTTTTTCACTTTCTCACAAAGTCTTCAGTTGAGCTCATTTTGCTCTTACCTTCTGTCTAAACATGAGAGGAGTGATTCTAATGCATAAAATTGTTTACGGCCAAAAATGCCAGGGTTTGTAGACTATTAAAGGAACTGTAAAACAGGACAGGAGCACAAAGCTGTTAGGAGTAGGCTTGGATTAACTAAAGAGCTGAAGCTCCACTGGAAAAGTTCTTAGAGACTTACAAACTGATGAAGATTTAAAAGTGGTGTATTACATAACGCCTTGGCTAAATTGATTGTTTATCAGCAGTGTATTACTTTCTTGACTGTCTCTCAGTCATCTGATGTTGCTGGGCAAGCTGGCTTTTGTTGAGGTAAAACTGGAAAAAATGCAGGAGGATAGGTCTTTTCTATACACACACACGTATGTAAACAAACACACAAAGACCTAGTTATAAAATCATACCATCTCTGGATTACATTGCTGATTATACTTCAGGCAACATCCTAAGTATTTTCCAAGTTGAGGCCCGTACAAAGAGATGCCTTTTTGAACAGTGTTACCTCTGAATAAGCATAAAATCCTGACATAGTAGTCTGCCCTGAATGTGTTGGTTTGTAGATGAAATTTTAAGGCACTGAGTTTCTCTTGTGATGTTAATTAAAGTATGAGGACTGAATTTTCCCAATAGCTTTTATCAGTGAAAATTATTCGTTCTTTCTAAACTCAGAATATCCTAAACTTAAAGACATGTGTGCAACAAAGCTTACCTTCTTGAGATTGTGTTTTGAGGGCATGAATTAGATATTGAAAAGATTGAATTATTTTGTAATGTATTATTACTGTCTGATATTTGCATGTAAGAGGAGAATATTATGCTGCTTTGGTTTAGTAATGAACCAGTAGGGTATTTTTAATTACTTTTAACAGCTTACACAGCCCACAGTACCTGCAGTCCTGTATGCTCATTTATGACCTTGCTATTGAAATAATTGCTTCCTACTTTACTTAAAGTGCTTCTGTAGAATGGTTTTGTGACAATGCAGGCTGGCTAGGGGAAAAACTGATCTCCCCCTCTATTTTCAACATAAATATTTGGTTTGGAGCTGCTAAAATTAAAGTACAATATAAATAGCAAATGTCTTTTTTAGGTTACTGATTCCATTCATTAGTTTGTAAGCTAGACATCATTAATAGAGATTTATGTAACCTGGGGTTCTTCCAGTCTTCTGTGTGAATCTTTCCTTTCCTCTCCTTTGAATCCAAATTTATTGTTGATGAGTTTCCTCATGACCAAGCCTACCCATGTGTTTATTTTTTTTCCATTCGGAAGAACATGCTTTCACTTGCGAAACAGAGGAGGGTGACTCCTGACCTGTTCTTTAGAGTTGTGAGAACAGACTTACCTCAAGAGTCTCTGTATGACCAAATGCAAAATATTTAATTTTGCTGAATGACTTCCCTAAAAGACTTCATAATCTGCTTAAAATTGGATACAGCTCAGTGTAGAATAAGTGACTTCCTATCAGATTTTAAATGCTGGAGTTATTTACTTAACCGAAAATTCTGTACGCTCGGAGTACGTTTGCCATACTAGATACCACCAAAAAGAGAGCGATTCAGCGTGGGCTTTGTAGTCTGAATAGTTGAGCTACACATATTCAAAAGTTTGAAGTAACAGTTGTATAGGCTGCTCATACTTTTCCTTCCTTGTGAATGTTTTTGTTCCTAGCTTAAGGCAATGAGCGAATACGGTTGTGAACTCTCATGGCTGAAAAGCTGCCTCTTTGAATGACTGGAATCTGCTTATTACATACTTGTCCAGTTATTTTATGGAACCGTCGTCTTTCAGGAGTCTCT